GAATCCTCGTCTTATGTAAAATCATATTGATTTTAATTTTTTTCTTCAAAAGTAAACTCTACTGACGCTGTCAGCTACGCCATGTAACATGTGTCATGTCACATTCAAAACTAGAATATCCAGTGATTAAATGTCATTTGTTTCAGAACCTGAGAAACCCCCTCAATCAGTCACGGTGACGACAAAGGTCAGCAGTAGTATCGAGGTAAAATGGGAGGCGGTTCCTAAAGATTTTAGGCGTGGTATCATTACGGAGTACATTATACTTTACAATTATGCCAGCGAAGGAGAGCCATCAGAAAAGAACGTGTCAGGAGATGCGCGGCAAGCGGTTGTTGGAGGACTCAAGCAATCTACTAAATATTCAATCCAAATTTTGGCTGCAACTGTGAAGGGAAGGGGTCCACCAAGTGACCCTAAATTTGCTACAACCAAAGGTGAGGAATTTAGCTGGTTCAGGTGGTAAATGTAAGCGTAAACCTGTCAAGTTACAGTAATATTAAAACAATGAAACGAATTATAGATGTAGAAGTAATCATCTACCTAGTAAAGTTGGTCATTTAGCCATTCAAGGCGATTGCGAGGCAGCAATTTTCTTCAGAAACGAATAAAAGACGGCACTACACTATGAAATGAAAACCCATGAAAATCTTGTGAATTAATTCATGGGAAATTCTCAGATTTTTCACAGGATTTTCGTGGTTAAATCAATGGCTTTTTCGTGGTCTCAGTGCCATGAAAGACATGAAAAATCCCTAAAAGGCCTGTGAAAATTTGCATATTCACGACCCATGAAACATTGTGTAAAGTGACCTAGAAGCCATGAAATGCCCATGAAAATGGCGTTTCATGGCCTTTTCAAAGGTACTGAAAAACCCATGAATTTCATGTAAAAAAATCCATGGTGTTAAAATTTACTGGGTTTTAATGGTTTGTAGGAAATCATGACCCATGAATATCCTGTGGATATGTAAAAAATTCATTGACCATGAAAATTTTCCCTGAATTTTCATNAACATTGTACAAGCGAAGGAAGCGACTATGGTGCGTTGGAATTCTGGCCTATAAATGGATGTGCACATTCCAAAGCGTTCCCATGTTTGTGATTATGTTTATGTCTTATGATTTTGGCACATCTGTGGACATGAGACATTTTGCATCACAATAAAAAATTTTACGATTATGGAATCCAAGAGGCCTTTGAGGTTAGAAAGCAAATCTATTATTGACACTTAGCAATTAACACAACTGACTGCTACTTTATGTTAAGAATTACTAAAACTTAGTTTGAATAATAAATTTCATGATAAACCTATATATACATGCATGTATCTTTATCTCTTGGTACATTTTGTATACCATACCTTTTATTGAACCAAAGTTTTAATCCTCTAAGATTACTCCTTGTCTTAAAATCTTTACATTCAAGATATTGAGGATTTCTTGAAATTATTCGATTGCCATTCATGGGGCATGAAATTAACTCTGGTGACTTTCTGAGGAAACTATTAGGTCATGAAAGTAGGCTTTTAAAGAAATTAATGGGTCAGGGAATTCATTCTGGTGACTCTCAGGGGAAATTAATGGGTCGTGAAAGTAGACTTAAAGAAATTCATGGGTCATGAAAGTCGAGTAAAAGAAATTCATGGGTCATGAAAGTAGACCTAAAGAAATTCATGGGTCATGCAAGTAGAGTAAAAGAAACTCATGGGTCATGAAAGTAGGCTTTTAAAGAAATTATTTGAATATCTCAACAAAGTTGAAATGAGATACAATGAATATATGAAGTTCATATATTTTGAACTGCGGTATTAAATACGAATGATGCACGATCCTTCGCAGTAGATAGCGCTATTTATGCAATAGCGAAAGTCAGACCTAAAAAAATCAGGCCTGTACGGCATTCGAACCACTGACCTCTGCGATACTAGTGCAGCGCTCTACCAATTGAGCTAACAAGCCAACTGGGAGCAGGCCGTTAAGTTGATTAGTAATAAACCCGTGATAATAAATCAGATTCAATGAATATATTAAGTTCATATATTTTCATATATATGAGAAGAAATATATCAAAGAAATTAATGGGTCATGGAATTCATTCTGGGGACTTTCAGGGGAAATTCATGGGTCACAAAAGTAGACTTAGAAGAAATTCATGGGTCATGAAAAAAATCCCCTTATTCATGGAAAATTCAGGGCTTAAAATAACCCCATTAATTTTCATTTTGCAGTATTCATGGGCCATGAAATGATTTTCATGGGTTTTCCACTAGAAATTCATGGAATTTTCATAAAACTACAGTTCATAGTGCTAGTAGAATTTATTGTCTAATTTATGCCTGGGATTGCTTTTAAAAGGTCTCTACACAGTTTTTTTTCTTAAGTTCGTTCTTTTTTTAGTAGATAATATTCTGAAGCAATGAAAAGGTGTGGTTGAGGATGAAAATCGTATTTCCAATGGTTATGTTGTAAAGTGGAAAAATCACTTTACTCGTTTATAATTACTTGAACAAGAGCCACTCTTTTTTGTATTAAATTGTGCAAAAACATCACTCGAATTAAAAAAGGTTGACGGAAATTAGGTATGAACATCAATTATGTTTGCACGTTGGTCGATCGATGAAACTGTTAAGGTTATATAAATGTACTTGATACTTATGTTAAGATAATAACTTATGTTATGTTTGTTTTTTTTCCCCTACCCTCCTTTCCCTCCCCTCCAATCCCTTTGGTAGGCAGAGAGAATTATGTACTGAAATTTAGAATACTGGACAAAAAGAGGTTGATCTGCACTAGACATTATTTCGTACTTTCCTCGTCTTATGTAAAATCATATTGATTTTAGTTTTTTTTTTTCAAAAGTAAACTCTACTGACGCTGTCAGCTACGTCATGGAACATGTGCATATCACATTCAAAACTAGAATATCATATTTCAGATCTGCAGCTAAGCATTCATACTTTAGATTTGTGGTGCTGCAGATGATGTATCTTCTATATCCTAGCCATATGGTGTCACATCTGTGATCATGTCAAAAGATTTCAGGGTCACTCTTTATCTTATCACATATGACTTTTTCATATGATTTGAATAAAGTAAATTTTCCATCAATCAAATGGTCATATTCTTCTTCTTTTAAGACAAGGATGAAGAAACTTCTGAATTTCCATTCCACTTTATCTGGGGATCGGTTGGTGCCTTTGCAGTACTCGTTTGTGTTGTGTTAATCGCAATTGCTATCAAACGAATCAGGAGAAAGAGGAAAGATTCTTTGGTTATGGTATGATACAATTAGCATAATAAGATAATTAGAGTTATCATAATTAGTATTATGATGTGTGTGTGTTTAGCCTATTCCAATGGATGAAAATAATGATAAATTTGCTTTAAGGGAGGGAAACTGTATAACTACTACAATGAGTGTTGCATTTCAATGTTGACGCAATATGCTTGGAGGAGATATACTTTGATTGTGTCCGTTGTTTCCAGGCACGCATTCATCGTTTCGCCGGCATAAACCTGTAGCCTCTGCAATTCGTTCTTGACAACAAAAATGTCTGCCAAAGCACTTTTGGCTATTTTTAATTTGATTGTCATGATCGATAACGTCATCAGATGTGGAAAAAATGTCACTGGTCACAGGTTAACCAGATTTAACGTAGGCTTTTCATGCTTTCATTTCATTCAGAATATGGCAGCATCAACCTTTGGGCTTCAAACTGCTTCTTTTTGTTTCTTTATAGGAGAGAAACAACGAGAATAATATTTCCATGCTGGAAATTACACCGGGCATCATGAATCAGCTGAGAGATCATGGCCAGCAGATCCCTATAGAAGCGCCAGCAGAAGTGCCAAACTCAGGGGCAGAAGAGGTTGTGGTTGTTGACAATGAGACATATCTAAATCAAATGGATATTGACAGAAACTGGGAAATTCCTCGAGAAAGACTGGAAATTTTAGAAACGAAACTTGGTGGAGGAGAGTTCGGAGTCGTCAAGAAGGGAAACTATTTGAGAGTAGATGGGAACAAATTACCTGTCGCTGTTAAAATGTTAAAAGGTTAGATACAGTCAAACGCTGTTTCTATTTATGAATTTATTTGGATCTGGTTGTTCTAAAGGTGTCACGCTATCCACTAGACAAATCTCAGTACTTTGCACAGCGCAGTAAGTTTTGTCAACCATTATCCACTGGATAGCAATTTATCTATTTGATAGCGTTATCCACCCTTTGGACAGCTGTGCCCAGATGGCTAGAGAAGCCTTTCAAAATAAAGTTACATTATTACCTAGATCTCCCCTAATCTGTCCTTAAAATCATTCGTAATGGTATTGTTAAGGTGGCCAAGACAAAAGAGAAAATAACCGTGCAGGTTTCTGAGCACTTTGAAATTGTTCCGATTTGCCCAACCATTTTTGCTCTTCGCATTTTACCTCCCTATTCGAAAATCGAGTTTACCTTTGTT